AAGTCTGGCATTTTTGTGCCCCTGTGTCAGTCAGTCTTGCCTCTGAGAGGGAATGGGCTGAAGGAGGGGCTGCTACCCAGATGGGGCAAGAGGCTCCAGTTCAGCCAAGGGCAGGTCTCCAGGGAAGTGGGCAGCTGTGAGCTATTAGCAGTCGATCCCCACAGCGCTGCAGGCCAGTGCACCAGCCTGGTGATGGGATCTGGGTAGGGCGCCAACAGCATCCACGATGGCCCACCTTTTGAACCGCTCAGATCTATGTCCCTTTCATGTGGTTCATTCCTTTCAGGCATAGCTTTTCCAAGATTCTGACCGGTCATAATTTTGGGGAATACTTATAAGAGGAGGGTTAGTGGGACAAACACATCCTTTGATGCTACACTTGGTCTCAAGGACTTAACTGATACGCACCGTCTCCTCACCCATTCTAGATCCCCTGCCCCTTCTGTTGGTCCAGGTGGTTTGCCTTGTTGGGTGAGACCTTGGTTTCCATACCCTTACCAGGATGTGGTTTGCCATTTACAGTTAAAACTCGGCGTGAACGTACCAAAAGCCCACCTCAGTGGATTACTAAGTACCACGCATATTTCTCACTGCCTCCATTACGCAGTCGTGGCCTGAGCTCTTTGTGATGGTTGGGGTCAGTTACTTCTGCCAGGATAGAACCTCTTCCCTGCGCCTCTGACCCATCAGCGCGAGGAGCCCAAAGTGAGTGGGTGCAGCTGAAGCCTAAGTTCACCGAGACTCTTACAGGTCCCTCGGTGGAGGCACTCCCCCGCTGAGACCCTTGAGCCATAGACAGCCCAAAAGTACAGGGGCAGACTGCACCCGTCCCCTAAGGTGGTCCACAGAAGTGCTAGCGCGTGGAGCCATTCCTGCGTTCTCCCTTTGTTTCCAGATCCATGTTTTCCACCTGTCAGAAACAGTGCCAGTAGCAGCATTGGTTTAAAGTCTCTACCATATCCTGAAGAATGGCACCCATGCTCGCAGGATGTCATTTCCAAGCTGATGCCCCAGCTGTGCCCTCAGGAAGCCTCTCGGGGTTGCATCCTCTGCATGCTGCTGCGTGCGGCAGGGTCATGCCCCTTCTCCTCTGCTAGAAAGTGCGCTTCTTTAGTATTAATCAGGGTCTCATGTCAGTACATCAGTCACTCTGTGAGCAATAGTGGTATTGGCCAAGGCAGGAAAGGCAAACCTACAGACTGCATGTCAGTCTGGTATGGATAAAACATTGCCCTTTCCAAGATGTAAGGGACCTGATGTCATCTAATTGCCACCAAGAGACTGGTTGGTCTCCTTGAGGGATGGTGCCGTAGCAGGAGGTCAGCTTTGGTCTTTACTGCAAGCAGATCATACATTCAATGGCAATAGTAGGTAGATTAACTTTGGTGAAAGGGAGACCATGCTGTTGAGCCCATGCCTAGTTTCCACTGGCATGGCCAAGGACAGAAGCTAGATCAAATCATCTTCTGAGGTGCTCTGTCCCAACTGGGCTCAATAGCATGACAGAAATGTTATGAAAATAGTATCCAGTTTTCTGCTGCAGGTGGCATGGCCTTGCTCCAGAATCTTAAGGGTCTGCTATGCCACTTTCCTACTGAAACTTGCTAGAGGCTCCACATGGCATCTTTCTCTGCCAAAGATTATTCTAGTAAATTGTTTGGCCTAAGTAGCAGGACTGCTTGTACCCCTTTCCCAACCTACTGCAGTGCCCTTTCTTTCTCTGGGCCCTGCTAAAAAAATAGCCTTCTGTGTCACTCAATAAATGAGTTGGATTATTCCACCCAAGAGTGCAATATGCAACCTCCAAAACCTGAAGAGACCTAGCAAGCTCTGTGCTGCTTTCATAGTGATAAAAAAACAAGGTGCATTAATTTGTGCTTAAGAGGAGATATGTTGAGCCTGGCCAGGCGTGGCTCGGTGGTTGACCGTGAGACTAGGATCCAGGCGATTGGGGTTTGATTCCCTGTCAGGGCACATGCCCGGGTTGCAGGCTCAATCCCTAGTCAGGGGCGTGCAGGAGGCAGCTGATCAATGACTCTCTCATCATTGATGTCACTATCTCTCTCCCTCTCCTTTCCTCTCTCTGAAATCAATGAAGATGTATTTAAAAATAAATTAATTAATAAATAAAAAAGAGGAGATATGTTGATATGCTTCATACAGTTGGACACCTGAAAACACCATGTCAATCCCCTGAATCATTTATGGCGTTTGTCTTTCACTCTCTGGAGTCCACGTGTCTTGCCAAGCCTTCTACATGCTTGTCACTTTGCGCTCATCAGGTCTTAGCATGATGTTAATGTTAATATACAATTGATGTCTTATAGTCTATAGTCCTTGGAATGTCCAGATGGTCCAGGTTCCTTCAGAATTTATTGTGACAGTGTTAACATAACACAATATTGGGGCAAAAACATGGGCGTGTACTGTTTTCTAAGCCATGTGAATGCTAATTGCTTCTGGCTTGCTCCTTACTATTAAAGAGAATGCATTTGCCAGATCAACAGCAGCATACCATGTACTCAAGGCTATGATATTCTACTTCAGTAGATGCTGTATCTGGCACAGCAGCTACAGCTGGGGCTACTTCTTGGATAAATTTGCAGTACTCCACTATCATCTGGCATAATCCATACACTTTTGGCAGAGGCCCAACTTGTGAACTAAATCTCCCGTAACAAAGTTTACCTGCATTCAAATCCTTTATAAAGTCCCATTCTTCCTAATAAAACAAAAGTTGACCACAGAACTAGAAAATTTAAGTACAAATTTTCCCAACTTATTTGGGGTGGGGGGCTTGTTTTTTAAATTTATCTTTATTGTTAAAAGTATTACAGATGTCTCCCTTTTTTCCTCATTGAACCCCTTCACCCCACTCTTGCCTCCTTCCCCAGGCCTTCACCACACTATTGTCTGTGTCCATGGACTATGCATATATGCATATGAGTTCTTTGGTTAATATCTCCCCCTCCCCCTTCCCTCTGGAGTATGTCAGTCTGTTGCATGCTTCAATGTCTCTGGGTCTATTTTGTGTGTCAGTTTATTTTGTTCATTAGCTTTTTCCTAAAGAAGACCCTTCGACATTTCATGTAATACTGGTTTGGTGGTGATGAACTCCTTTAGCTTTTTCTTGTCTGTGAAAGCTCTTTATCTGACCTTCCATTCTAAATCTTAGTTTTGCTGGGTAGAGTAATCTTGGTCGTAGGTTCTTGCTTTTCATCATTTTGAATATTTCTTGCCACTCCCTTCTGGCCTGCAAGGTTTCTGTTGAGAAATCAGCTGACAGTCCTATGGGTGCTCCCTTGTAGGTAACTAACTGCTTTCCTCTTGCTGCTTTTAAGATTCTACTCTACCAATTCCAGGAGACATAACAGCTCTACCTAATACATAGAAACAAACACAGGGAAGCAGCCAAAATGCGGAGACAAAGAAACATGTCCCAAATGAAAGAACAGAAGAAATCTCCAGAAAAAGAACTAGATGAAATGGAAGCAAGCAAACTACTAGATACAGAGTTCCCCAACTTATTTTTTTAAATAAACTTAAAAATGAAGCGCTATAAAATTATCTAATATTACCCTTTATTCCTCAGCCATAGATTGTGTGTGTGTGTGTGTGTGTAAAAGTAAGCACTAAACAGGTCACAAACAGTTAAATGAGCGCTTCCTTATCGCGTAAAGGGTGGAACTGGGCACTCATCACTGAGGCGTTCTCAGCTGTAATCGGACAAACGAGATCCCTCCCAGCACGTGGCCCTCCCCACTTAGAAGCCACCCTTCCCCCTGGGATGGATCGTGCTGCCAGCCCCCTCACCTAACTCCGTTAGCCCCCTTTCAAAGCCAATCCTTAATTATTTTCCTATATAAGCTTTCATTGCCCCGTTCTTCTAGAATCTTTACTTCAGCTTCTTAGAGTTGCCTACTTTCAGATGAAAACCATTGGCTTTGCAGATCAGTGGGGTATGTTTTAGGTAAGTTTCATGGTAATTGTGCTGCCCCTGCACTGCGCTTCGACTGTAAGATTCACTTCTAGAGCTTTCTATTGTCATGGAGCTGTGGTGGTTTAGCTCCTCGCGGGTTTCCTTAGAGACCGCATTACACTAGTAGAGGGAATTCAGCTTAAGGTATGTGATTTCATTAAGGGCTGCAGCGTTTGACAACATGTCAGGGCTGAAGAATTCTTGGGAGTATGAAGATTTAAAAAGGCTTTGTGCTCCTCGGCTAATTTGTCTTTCTTCCTTTAGTCCCCCCCAGATACATCCTTCCCGGCTTCCCTGGCCGCGCAGCATTTCCTTCTGGAGGAAGAGAAGCGAGCAAAAGAACTTGAAAAACTTCTAAATACGCATATTGATGAACTGCAAAGACATACAGAATTTACTCTCAATAAATACACCAAGCTAAAACAAAATAGACACATATGAGCTTTCAAACTTTTTTTATGTTTCCCCATCCCGAGAAAAAAAGCTCTGACAAAATATTTACAAAGCTGATTAATGAAACTGAGAAATTTTTGTTCTGTTTTCTTGAGTAAATCATTTCTGCAAGACAGCTAGAAAATAGTAAGTATTTTGTTCGATAATGCTGTTTATATTTCTTCATTAACATAATAAATTGTTTGGCTGTAGAATTATTATAAAATAAACATCACTACTCCAAAAGAGCTTTTTTTTTCCAGTCTAGGAATATTTTGGAATTAAATATGCAGTTTTTTCCCCACTTGAATCATGTACACTGAAAACCCATTTCCTCTATAATACCACAAAATGAGGGAAAGGAAGCACTATATTCCAAATACAAATGAATCAAGTGCAGCTCAGTTATACTAGTTTGAAACCTCAAGGATTTGTAAAAGTGAAAAATATTAAGTATTTTGAGCTACATACATCCTAAAACCTCTTTTAGGAAGGGAAAAAAAAGGCTAGCTTTTCTGTTTGTACATTCATCTTTGTAATGTCTGTTTCAACACAATGAAATGTGCTGTTCACACACTTACAACATAGGTGCCAAATATTAATGCCTTCCTGTTAATACTAATTACTTCATGGATATAAACAAGATAAAGAAAATATAAAGCATTGCTATTGTTACATTCTCCTTTGTAATACCTCTGTTTTTAATAAAAGAATGCAAAATTCCATGGACTTAAAACACAAATGTCAAATCTGTATAGAACAGTAATAGCACGGTAGCACACAATAAAATTCACGTCACAAACATACACGCCTGATAATCCATTATTCTTTCTTTAAAAATGACACTTATATAAAGGTTACAGAAAAAATCCCTGTGTAGTTACTCAAAGTAAGTCCCATAGCTTTTATAGTTTCTTTTTCTCTTGAAAAAAAGTAAACCTCAATGTACTGAAAAATAAGTCAAGATGCCTTTAGATAACAAGTGTCTTTGTTGTGTGAAAACTGCAGAGCCCTGATCACTTTAGGGGACTCAACCATGTGGATTTGTATGGCTCTTGATCTCTGCAAAAAGCCTTCACGTAGCATTATTCATTTCAACTCAAAACAAGCCTGTGAAGTCTGCAAGGCTAGTGTCCTTATTCCTGGAAATCAAGCTGTTATGAAACTTCCTAGAATCGTGGTAAGCAAGGGAGGCAGAAATGCCTGGCTCCTAACACCTGGCTCCAGCTGTTACTAGCAAGCAGATGGCAAACAAGGCTGTGCCTACAGAAGCCCTGTTTCATGACAGAACATTAGAGGAGCACAAAGCCTTTAGTGTGCTCAAAAGAGCCCCGCCTGAGAAAAATAATAAAAATCACAGTACTTTTCAATTATTTAGTAATTTCTAGCCTGGACATAAAGAAAATAAAATAATCTTAAGATAGGAAGAAAAAGCATGTTTAGGGAAAGGGTATTCCATAGACAAAGTCTAAAACTTTTGCATCCCTAATGCAAACATAAACAATGCAAAACTTTATGCATATCTTTATAATCCCCTCAATCTGAATGCCACTTCACTATGCTCAGGATTAAGACAAGACTGAAAGCTGGGTGGTGAAATAAAGATCTGGGCTACAGTGTTCTTAGGACTTAGCTGAGTCGAGAGAGCATGAACCTAGAGGATGTCCAAGACGGACAGTGCATTTGCTCCTCTGGATTATTTCAAGTCCATAAGCAGACCTCTTTTAAGTCACTAGATTCCACTTAATACCAGCTTTCTTACAGCAGTGACTTTCAATATTTTTGCTTAACAACAGGATTTGGTGTTCAAAAGAAATCCTATGCTGAAGCCCAACATATAATCAAGATAAAAATTAAGCAGCTCTTGTTGAATGCTGCGAGGAGGAGAGGAGGGGCGAGGCCCACGCGCTCCCCATCGCCCTCCTCGCCCCTCTCCTGCCCTCCACAGACCAGAGGGACTCCACGGAGCCGGTGCCCCAGATGCCGGAGTGAGAGGGATTGAAGGCGAAGCAGATTTGCTCTGTTACCCGCACAGAATTCATTTTCCCACAAAACCCATGTCATATAACCTCCATCATACTACAGCAGCCAATTTAGCACATGACTTAGCTAAAACGTGATGGAAGGAGTTGGAGGAGGGGAACAGGAGAATGCCCAGTAAGGCCAGTGAACACTGGAAGCCAATTCAAAGAGAAAGTGTGCCATGAGTTAATCTTTGCCCCATAATGGCTTATATATATACTTTTACTTCTCAGTTATCTAGGAGCATATTAACTGGCTTGAGAATTAAGCAAATTTGGGGGAGGGAGGGCTGCTGGAAAATCATAGATAAACCCAAATTTCAGTTAAAATGATAGATAAGTCTTATTACCTGTCAACAGAGCTGCTCTGGCTAAGTGGATGTTAGAGCCCCCTTACCATCGTCCCGACACTCAGCCCACCCCAGCCCCTGGCTGTCTCCTCCCCCTCTGGGACAGCAATCAGAGCTAGCAGCTTCCGTGCCTAATTAGAGAGCCCTGCCCTGGAGATGAGTTTTTCTAGGTCCCAGCTACACCTCAACTGTGATTAATCTGACCCCAGCAGTCTAGAAGCAATTGCAGTTTTAACAATGATGTGGAGTTAGCGCCTCCCCAATTAATGTAAATTAAGTGTTCTTAGGCGTCTTTGCCTCCCCCGAGCACCTAGCCCAGGTCCTGGTCATGGGAGCTATTGGATAAGTAGTGATTGGTGAGTGGACTGAATCCAGACATGGGGGAGGCCTTTAGCAAAGGCAAAGAGTACAAGAAGCTTGAGGTCGTCTAGGGTACTATGACAAAATACTAGACGTGTCAAATGGTCAGCTGCAGAAAAGTGCACAAACTCTGAATTTGTCTGAATGCTGGTGGGTATGGGGGAGGTTTTCACTCATACCTGACCTCACATAGGACCCTCTGGGTATCTACACACTCCTTTTATATGTTTCAACTAATGTCTAGTAGGAATCTAAAATAGAACATTAGCCATGTGCGTAATGGTTAGAGCCAATGAAACCATGAGAACCCCAGGGCTAGAGCAATGCCATGGAAGTGTGATAGGGATTTGGGCCCAAGCCCAACTAGCAACTGAAACTCTGCCCAACCCTTCGAACCCCACAGACTAGAGAGTCACCGGGAGCTAAATCCTAAGCGATAAAACATTCCCAACTCTTTCCTCCTACAGTGAGGCTGCACTGTGGCCCAAAGATAATGATGAATGGACCATGGGACTCCTGAGTCCCGGCTGAGGGAAAAGCCTGGGGGAAAGTTTTCATGACCTGCAGGGACCTCCCAGGGCAGAGGTCAGGCAGAAACTTTGGCCCAAGTCACAGAAGTCAACCAGGCAGTGTTCAGAAACGGCGCACATACCATTCCCCAACATGGGGCAAGAGAGGTCACAGTCTTGTAACAGGATGAACATGAGTCTGCTTAGGCAGATAACTACTGTTACGGTGACCAACAATCTCATCACGAAGCTGAACTGCCAAGTAATCTCCAACAGCAAGGTTTCAAACAGGGAAAGATTCAGCAGGGCCAAGCACAGAATGAAGAGATGCTCAGAGCCACCAAGCTGGCCCATGGCCAGACTAGAAACTCTTAGGTCTTAATGGTTCTCAATACATTAGAACAGGTTAGATCAGTTGGAGGCGAAGGGTTCTCCAGGCCTCGGCCCCACGACCTTCACAAAGGTCCCATTTCCTTATCCGTAGAACAAGCATCATAACACGACCAGTGTCAGAGGACTGTTGTACGGATTAGAGCAGGTAATGCCCACAGAGCACTTGCACGGTGTCTGGGACACGGTGACTGCTTGGTAAGTGTCAGCTGTCAGCGTTTCGTGCCATCCCTGCCCTCTGGGGCGTCAGGTCTGAGCTCAGAAGATGAAACACATCCTGAAAGAATAACGCGATCATTTATTGAGGACCACGTGCCAGTCACTGTAATATAAATTAAACTTGTTTAATCATTAACACTTTTATAAGAAATACTGACATAGCATAAAATTCACCCATTTCAAGGGTTTACGTCAATAATTTTTACTAAATTTACTAAATTGTGCAACCGCTGCCACAACTCAACGTTGGAACATTTCCATCACCCAAAAAGACCCCTCGTGCCCACTTGCAGTCACTCCCTGTTCCCATGCCAACCCCAGGCAGCTGCTAAACTACTTTCTGTCTCTGTGATTTAACTGGATGTTTCATATAAATGGAGTTCTAGAATATGTGGGGTTTTGCATCTGGCTTCTTTCATTTAATATGTTTTGTGGTTCAAGGTTATAGCATGTATAAATAGTTCTTTTTATGGCTGAATAGTATTCTGCTGTATGAGTAAAGGACACTGTAGCCATTTCATCAGCTGATGGACATTTGTTTCCAGTCTGGCAGCTATTATGAATAAAGTTGTCATGAACATTCACATTCAAGTCTGCGTGTGGATGTCTTACTTCTGCCAATAGATTCCTAGGAGTAGAATTTCTGAGTCACATGGTAAATTTATGTTTAACTTTTAAAAGAAACTGCCAAACTATATTCCTAAGTAGCTGCACCATTTACATTCTCACCAGAAAAGTATAAGTGTTCTCATTTCCCCATATCCTCTCCCACACTTATTATTGTTATCTTTTTTATTATAACATTTCAGTGTGGACGAAGTGGTATTTCATCCTGGTTTTAGTTTGCATTTCTCTAATGACTAATGTTGAGCATCCTTCTGCATGCTTACTGACCATTCACATAACTTTTTTGGTGAAATGTGTATTCAAATCTTTAGCCCATTTTATAATAATTTTTCTTCTTTATTAAGTTAAAAGAATTCTTTAAACATTTTGAAGTAAGTCCTTTATCAGGTGTATGATTTGCATATGTTTTCTCCCAGTCTGTGGCTTATCTTCCATTTTCTTAATAGTATCTTTTGAAGCCATACAATTTTAACTTTGCTATAGTAGAATTCATTTTTTTTTAATTTTATGGATCATGCTTTTGGCATAATATGTAAGAATTTTTTCCCTGAGTCAAGGTCACAAATATTTT